TTTTAATCCATGTGACCATATCAATTTATTAATATAGTTTCATTTATAACAAAAATTTGAGAATATTAATCCCTGTTTGGTACACTTTTCAAATCTTATTCTATTATATTGTAAAAAGTAAAAACGTGTTTGTTTCTCTATTCACATAATTCAATTCAAAATTCAATCTTATTCTATTCAATTTAAAATATTCAATTACAGTTCACAATAAAAGTTTATAAATTAACAAAAACAACCTCATCCATCCAAGCCACTGTCGATCACCAACAATCACCGTCGATCGCCAGTCGGCGTCGAAATGTCGCATGATCGACCAGATCTGGCCAATCATGTGCTGATTTGGCTGAAAAAGAGATATAGCCATCGCTGACAGATAGATTTTGGCCATTAATGACGGCTAGATTCTAGTTGTAGATCTGCCTTTTCCGACTAGATCTAGCCGATCGTGCACTGATCTGGCCTTTTTTGACTAGATCCATGTGCACGATCGGCTAGGTCTAGTTGATCGTGCACCATTCTAACGAATGTCGGCCACAGTCCGACGGTGGTGGCCGATTGCCAACAGTCAGTTGGGTGGATAGCGATGTTTTTTGTTAATTTATAAACTTTGATTGTGGGGAGGTGTTCAGCTAAATTAACAAATATATGGGGTTAAAAATAACATAAATTTTTTAGAAAATGTTTTAAAAAAGTGTACCAAATACATTCTCATAATCTTATCATATCCTATTCAGAATAGTTAATATCATATTTCAAATCAACATCAAACGAGGCAGCCAATGAAGATAGAGATAGGTGATTACGATGAGGGTCCATTCAATACAACTACACAACAAAAGGATCGATCTATGTATGGTGAAAGGAGCAATGCTATGCTTACAAGTTGTAAGCATAGCATTGGTTATAACTGAGTTATATAAGTTGGTTGTAAGTTACAACCAAATTATATAATTGAGTTATACAATTAGACAAAAAACAAAGAATATAGTAGGGTCCGTTTGTTTTATTATTTTAGATAGGATTTTGGGAATAATATTGGGTTGCTGAATAGGGGAGTATTACGAGGTAAAATTTAAAAATTTACAAAAAGAAAAAGCCCCTAGGTTTGCTAATTTAACTAAACACCCCAATATATAAAATTTTTGTAAAATGACAAAAATACCTCCACCACCCACAGTGCCAGATTCCGGCCACCACCGCCAGAATCTGGCCGGCAAATGTCGTTACAACGCAGACTGGTTGGATCGGTGGGTAGGGCGTTGATATTGCCATCGTTGTCGGTCAATGATGGCCATTTCTGACGGTCAGATCGGTGAATTACAGGTCAGTTCCAATCGTTTGTAGGCTGTTGTGATAGATTTCGGCTACCACCGATGGTAGTTGTCAGAATGTGGCAAGTATGGGTAGGTGAGAGTTTTTTTTATTAATTTTTAAACTTTTTTCTAGGGTTATTTATGAAATTAATAAACTTAAGGGGTCTAAAAGTAATAAAAAAATATACTAATATTTTTCAAATAATAAAACAAATAATATTTGGGGAATATGATTGAGAATATGGGTAGAAATTATGTGTCAAACGCATCCGTAATTATTTTACATAAATTTTATATAATTTTTGTTTAATTGTATGATTAAGTTGTAAGCAAATTGTTATTAACAGTGGAAGTTTATCTCTCATTTATCATTTTCATTCCTCTCTTTACATCAAATATAGTACGAAAAGTTGTAATTATTTGTGAATGTCGTACTATTATTTAACCAATAATGCTAGGGACACCGAAAAACCTGCACCGAAATTTTGTACCGGCCTACGTGTAACACGTTTCTGATTTTTTTAACAATTTTTTTCTAGTGAACGGCCGTCCATCAAATTTGGACGACCGTTCACTCACATGGACGCCCGTCCATATTATATGGATGGATGTCTATATACAAGGGACGGGCGTCCCCATGTAAAGGACGCCCGTCCTTCATTAAAATACAATAAAAAAATAATTTATAAACATTAAGACTGCCGTCAATAAATTTTGGACGGCCGTCTATTACATTTGGACGGGCGTTCATTATGAATGGACGCCCGTCCATACTCTTCCTTTTTTTTTTTTTTCTTTTTTTCTTTTTTTTTTTCTAAAAACTAGCTTTCTCCTAAGTGGCTCTGAAATCAGTCAGGCCGCCTTTAATCCCTACGGAGGATGAACAGAAGAAGCAAGAAGAAGGCTTCTTTGGATCCTTTGCAAAGCTTTTTGTCAACACTGAATCATCTGCTATGGAAATTTTGAGAGGAATATTTCCAGATTTTAGGAAGAAGCCACTGAACCATCAATATCAAAGCCTATACCAGCACCCTCAACAGCAAAAGTACTCAACTGCTTGGCCTGTACAAGACAGCTTTGTGATCCCAGATGAGGACGAGCCACCTTCCATTGATACAAGAACTCCCACTCCACGAAAAACTTGTACTTTCATGTCCAAGGATGCAGAAAAGATCCAGCAACTGCGGCAAAGTCGAGCTAATAATAATAATAATAATAATAATAATAATAATAATAATAATAATAATAATGTATTCTTATCTTAATCAGTATTGAGTATGGAGATGTATAGGTCCATATGCATATCTACATGCATTTACTTAAAACTCTGATTAGTTAAAAGTCGTGGGCAGTTAATAGATGATCAGAGAAGAAGAACAAGAAGAAGAAGAAGAGAAGCGAAAGTGTAGAAGTTGAGCAGTTTTTTTTTTTTATTATTATTTTATGGACACCCGTCCAAACATAAGGGACGGGCGTCCCAAATGTTTATAAAAAATTTTATTGTATTTTATTTATGGACGGGCGTCCTTTACATGGGGACGCCCGTCCCTTGTATATGGACGTCTGTCCATATAATATGGACGGGCGTCCATGTGAGTGAACGGCCGTCCAAATTTGATGGACGGCCGTTCACTAGAAAAAATTGTTAAAAAAATTAGAAGTGTGTTATACGTAGATCGGTACAAAATTTCGATGCAGATTTTTCGGTGTCCCTAGCATTATTGTTATTTAACACGGTATTAATCCTCCGCACAAAAATCAATTTAATATCATATACCATATGCAGGTGACATCAGAAAAAAAAATTTGTGGACACGATGGTTGGGTTTGAGCTGTGATTCATGGTGGCGGAATCAATCTCACTCCAAATCTTCCATACTGCTTTCCGACAGCGACATGCACCATGCACGTTTTCATTCAACTCCCACTCTGTCTCTGTCTCTGTCTCTCTCTCTCTTTCCCTATCTGTGTATAATATATACATAAATTGGTACTGATATTATTTTGGAAAAGATGAAGTCATCTAGTCAAGTGTGGCATTTTTGAGGAAAAGAATGGCATTTTTCAAATGTTTGATTATATGTAAATTTTATAATTTATCATATATTTTTTATTTAACTACATAATAAAATATCTCTTAATCGTGAATAATAGTTTTAATTATGTAATTTTCTAAAAAAAAAAAATCTGAAATCCATTCTACACTCTTTTAATTTCCCTTGTTTTTATACCTCTCATCTTCTATTTTTTAATATACTTTTTTCTTAATTAATGATATTTTCTAGTATAAAAAAGATTGATAATATGTATTTATATTTATATTTAAATTGTAAAAAAAATATTTTATAATTTTGCCATTGAACTCTTTCAAAATTCAATTGACACTTTAGTTGTAAGGCGATTAATTCAGATGCCATTAAAAGTTTAATAAAAATATAATAATGTAAAAATTGGGTTTCCAGAAGTCAGGAGTTGTCAAACGCATCACTATCATTCATCTACCAGTTAACAAGCAGACGTTGGTCACGAGCTCATCTAACTACACACAACCAAAATAACAAGCCCTTGTCAACAATAGCTGGAAAATAATAATACGAATAATAATGATAATATTCATAGATTAACATGTCTTTATCTTACTTGAAGTATAGCTTTACCAATTTCCAAGTGCGATCTAAGCAAAAGTTTCAATAATGAAGAAGTGAATTAGGAAATGATTTGGGTTTTTCCAATTCAAAGACACGATTCAATTTGGCTCAAGATCCGAATGTATTCCTTATTAGTGGCAAAATGGGAAATTGAATAGACTTATACATCACCGTAACCAATTCAATCAGTGGTCCTAAATCCTAATTCTAATGTGTGATTTAATTGATTGATCACCAAACTCATTTCTTGATGAGCTTACAATCATTACTTAAAAGTCAAAACTGTGTTTTAAACGATTAAGTGAAGCCTTATTTATATATATTATTTTATTTATAAGATTTTTTTTTTAATTATCTGGAGTGTCCAGGCCAACTTATGCGTATCTCAATTAATTCATTGGAACACTGGAACTGCCAGTCGGGTAAGAGGCCCAATGATCACCTCTATTTGTGTCTGGGAGAATTTTATTCATAGGATTTTCTCAAGGAGAATTTTGAATATTTCTTAATTATTATATCAAAATTTCTTTATTAATCGACCTTATTCTCTATCATAAGAAAAACATAAATAGTCCTCGAAAATAACATAGGGTTGCCATGTTTTTAAATTTAAGGGTATAGATAAAGCTTTCAAAGTAATTTAAATTGAAGAAATTAATAAAAATTACTTAATTTTTTTATTTGAATATTGTATTAGAAAACTCACCAAAAAATTTGTATATAAATAGTGGTGTTAATTTAAATTTTTTAAAAGTATACTCTCTAGATCTTGTTTCAAAGATACTGGGATAAAAGAATAAGCAGGTCCCCAGTGATTATATGTATAAATTCAGATTATAAACTATTTTAGAATGAGACAAATTGTTCTAAAGACAATAATTTGTCAATCTAAAGTATTATTATATTTCATATATTGCTCAGTTTCTATGCCAAGCAATTAAACACTATTGGATTTTGTTTCATTAAAAAAAAAAAAGTTTACCATGAAAGCAAAACATAACCATATAAATTACCAACGACATATCATAATCACTATCACTATCACTATTAACAATCATGATTTTATTTATTTATTTATTAAATACATAAACGTTGGCTGGAACTAGAAGGTAAGCACGTGAAAAGCTAACAGGATTAAAACTTCTATGGAAGAATTGAATTCCTTCCACCAACCGATACATCAGCATGCACAAGCCCACTAAATGTTTTTTTCTATTTTTTTTCAAATTAATAATGACTCCGCAAAGGAATCTAGCTGCACTTGGTCATCTTCATCCTTCAATATCTGTAGATATTCTTCGTAAAGCTTCTCTAACGTGTTTTCACCGGTGAATACCTGAGATATTTGGTACTCAAAATCACTTCCGTTGACTATGTCGTCATCGTGATCGCCCACGAGAAATCCAGCTCCATGACCATTATCACTATCTTTGAAACTGCAACAAGGAACTTCTGTACTGAATTCTCCATGGCCATTTGAAACAGTACTGAATAAATTATTGAACTTAAAACTTTCATTTATTGGTAATACGAAAGAAGTAACTCTGATGGGCTTTGGGAGATGGACCTTGTGCTTTTGTGGCTCCACAGTTGGTTTGGTCTTATTTTTATAATTCTGGTTCTTTTTGTGGTTATTGTTCTTGCTATTTCTTCTCTTCCTTGCATCTTGAGTAACTCGGTCATCTGATAATTTCCTATGGGTGTTTGGGTCGGTTCCTTGGTTTCTAAGTCTTTTGCTGAGATGAGTGTTCCAATAATTCTTTATCTCGTTATCGGTTCGACCGGGAAGCCTTCCTGCAATGAGAGACCACCGATTTCCAAGTAACGCATGCAATCTGATAATAAGATCTTCCTCATCAGGAGTTATGTTCCCTCTCTTGATATCTGGTCTTAGATAGTTCATCCATCTTAATCTGCAACTCTTTCCACATCTAAGAAGCCCTGCACAACCGAGAAGATCCATATATTAATATAAGCCCCAATAATGAAAAAATCAGCGAGAGAAAGGAATCTCCCACCCAAATGTGACTCAAATAATCAAGAAGGAATAGAAAATGAGTAGTAGTGATGAGATTACCAGCTTTTTTAGGCAAGGATCTCCAGTGGCCTTCACCATGTGCTTGGATGTATTTGGTAAGCAAAGTGTCTTCTCTTGGAGTCCACGGACCTCTATGCAAGCCAACCTTAGAACAACAGGGAGCCCTTCCCATTTTTCTGATAGAATATCCCAGGAGAGAGAAAATGAAAGAATTGATTAGACGAGCAAAGAATAGGATCCAGTGACTGATGCTTCTATCAAGTACAAGAAATGACAATGGCGGCCGTCACCATATAATCGGACTTATAAGATTCTCTTCCTTGCAATACTTAGGGAGAGTTTCTAAATAACCGCCATGGTGACTTCATAATTAAGAAGGGCAAGTCTGCCTGCAAATCTCTAAAGGAAAGTGGGATATGTTACGTATTCATAAAACATAAGCTATTTATACTATCAAATTGTACAGTTCTTCTCACCATTTTACTTTACTTTCATGAACTGCACACTTATCTCAACGACTCTTCTTGCTATCTGCCATTCCACTGCATGCAGATACCTTAATATATAGTGAACAGTTAGTCTTTAATAAATTGAATAGTTTTAAATCTAAAAAATATATCTAATAATAGAAACATATCTCTTCATTAATCAATTCCAAAATGATAGCCCACAACACACCACAAACAAGAATGGTAATGGTAGAGTTAATGAAAAGTAAATAATTTCTCCTACACTCAACCTTGTGCTTGGTGCATATAGTTCTGGAGTGGTAATTAACACGTGTGAGATCTGACATAATTCTACATCTCTATCCAGAGTCTACTCCACAAGTCTCTGCAGCCTATGATTACATTCAGGTAAATCAATTGTATTGTACTTCTAAATTGTGTTTTACTTTTCCCAAAATTGAAATACAGTTTCCCCTTTCAATTTTGGGAAATGTAAAACATGATACATTGAACAATATTGGACCAGAAAAAAATGCTGCGGTTGGTTACAAAATTAAGTTCCAATCATTAGTAAACACGGCAATATGGCTTCTTTGTCTGTGTGGTAACAGCGAACATTTCCTAAATATTTTTCCCCTAAACTCTGCCAACATTCAACGCTTAGTTTAGATTATATAATATTTTATTATAAGAGTATATTATATTAACAAAAAAAAAAGATTATCTTGAAAATTATTAAGAATGTTTAAAAAATATATTTAGTTGGTTTGAATAAATTGATGAATAATATGTTTAATTGGAAGGATAAATGGATGGGTATGTTATATAGATTATTAAATTGCTCTTTTTTTTTAAATATTAATATAATAGTATTTTTATTATTATTTTTTGAATCATTTCCTTTAACTCTCAACATTTGAAATTTTGCTAAAACATCACAGCCATATAAAACTTTAATTTGTAGCAAAATTACCCCCACCCATCCGAAGTCATTACTGACAGCTAGCCACCATCACCGACCGTTGCCGGAAGTCGACAGAATGGTGCACGATTGACCGTATATGGCCGACCGTGCGTCGACAAAGCTAGAAATGGTCATGGATCACAAACCCATGACCTTTTCACGGTCAGATCTATAGCCATTTCATGGCCAAAGGTGTAGCTGTGAAACGGCCACCGATCTGGCAATGAAAAGGCCAGATCTTTGGCCGTGAAATGTTGCAGCATGACCACATCTTTGGCTATGAAACGGCCATGGAAACACCAGATCTGGCCGTTTCCGACGCACGACCGGCCAGATCCCGTCGGTCGTGCACCATTACAACGATTAACGCCAGCTGCTGACGGCAGTGAGTCACGGCCAACGGTGGTCTTGGGTGGTTGGGGGTATTTTGTTAACTTTTAAACTTTTTTTGTGGTTGGGGTGTTTTAGCTAATTTCTCAAATGTCGGGGGTTGAGAAATTGTTATTTAGTAGACATTTAAAGACAATTATATCCGAAATAGTTTTTAATTAAAGGCAAAATAAGAAGAAAAATCATATCATTCCGATAATGTTTTAATAACAGTCTTTAGTAAGGTAATAAGATTACCCCCCACATTACCAATAATAACCGCTATTTACAATAAAAGATTACGAAAAAAGATTATAATAATATTTTATTACTTATAAACAAAATACAAAAATCTTACCAAATAAACTAATATTACCCGTTATCTTATTTACGCCATCCAAACTGCCCTCAATATTATATTGTACCTCGATATTGGGCCCTTTTCACTTGATGTGATTTGTGATTTATGAGTGCCTGGAACACTTCCACTGACATTATAATTTATACACATGTCTCATGTTCGTACACCTACCTTCTACCTGTCTATTAAGGCAGAAGTCACTGAGGGAAAGGTGATAGTGAGGATGCCGAGCTTAGCATCAAGGCAAGGTGGTTTGGACTCGACAGTGAGTATAGGATCTTAAATGTTATAACTTAGACGCTTCGTAATAACCTCACTCTCCTGCAAATTTGTAAAGTATGGTTGCCATTTGGTATAAAAAAGAAAAACAAAAGGCATCTAGTATTTGGGAAGTGACTGAAACATGTATACAACTCACAATATTAATGTTCTTAATTATGCTCGTACGTATGCCTTCCTTTTTTCATCAATCCTTTCCGCAACTTAAGGTAAAAAGTTAATGTTGTGTGAATATGATCTCATTTATAAGAGTGAACTAATGGGCAAGCATTTATGTGTTGCATCATTTGATAAAAAACGATAATAGCTAGTAGATGGTCCACTCTCCTTTACTGTAATTTGAATTTGAATAATACTACACATACATCATTTCACATACAACATTATATGACAAGATATGATTGGCTAATTTAAAGTTAAATTTTAACTTTTTAACTTTAAATTAACCAATCATATTTTATCACATAATATTATATAAAAATAATGAATGTGTAGTATTATCCATTTAAATTTTCAGCCACTTGAACTTAATTATTGAGTCTTGGACTTTCAAAGCCAACCTGCACTTGAGAGAGAGAGACGGAGACCTGCCACCGCAGCCTTTGTCAACATCTAATGCCCACTTAGAAGGAGAAAGTATTCACTTACGTGGTCAAATTTTAATAAGACTTACAAAAAAAGAATACAATAAAGATAGGTTCATAATTCAATCTTATAAATTTTTTCTCACATTTCTACCGTAATAATTCATAATTGATCAATTCGTAATTAGACAGATAAAACCCGTAATGAACAGATGAGACATACTTATGAGGTGACCAATTATGAACTGTCATTTCAATATTGTAAGAGAAAATTTGTGATATTGAATTATAAGTATAGTATTATCTAAAATAGTAATAACAAAGTAATGTTATTGTAACTCGTTAAACCCTTTATAACTCAATTATTAAACACAACGAGTGCGTTTGGTTCATTATTCTGGATAAGATTTTAGGAATAATATTGGGTTGTTGGATAGGGGAGTATTACGAGGTAAACTTTAAAAATTTATGAAAAAACCCTTAGGTTTACTAATTTAATTAAAGACCCTAATATATAAAATGACAAAAACACCCTCACCACCTACAGTGTCAGATTCCGGCCACCACAGTTGGAATCTGGCCAAAAAAATTTGTTACAACACAGACCGGTTAGATCTGTGCCGTAACACATCGTTATGGCCTTTTCCGGTCAGATCCACAATAGGTCAGATCAACCATGGATCTGGCTGGCAAAGACCAGATTTACGGCCAAATGTTGTCGTCGACGACTGAAAAACGTCAAAAGAAGTCCATCTTTGGCCATCGCTGCCAAATGTTGCCATCGACGATCAGAAGACGTCAAAAGAAGTCCATCTTTGGCCGTCAGCGACGGCCAAAGATGTGGCCGTCATTTTTGGTCAACGATGGCCAAAGATCTGGCCTTTTTCGGCTAGATCCGTGGTGGATCTGGTGGAAAAAGGCCAGATCGGTGAACTTCCAGCCATTTATGGTAGACAGGTAGGCCGTTGTACAGATTCCGGCTATCACCGACCGTGGTTGTCGGAATCTGGCAAGTATAGGATGATGGAGGTGTTTTTGTTAATTTTTAAACTTTTTTTCAGGGGTATTTAATGAAATTAATAACCTTATGGGGTCTAAAATTAATTAAAAAAATAGGGTAATATTTCTGGAATAATGTGCCAAACATTATTTGGAGAATAGGATTAGGAATATAGATAGAAATAGGGAACCAAACGCACCCAACATTATTTTACGGAAATATCTCTACATAAAATTTCTATATCTAATTCTTCAAAATCAAAAGAAACTCATAGTCTACTAACCAACATCCCATCATGTCAATTAATAGACCTAATCTTTGACCTTAGCAATATCTCTGCATCGAAATCGAAATGCAAATAAATTAATGTATGAACTCATTTCAAATTTAAAAACCATACCCCCATTTTCTTTCCACATGCGTAGTGATTGATCAAATGGAAGTTAATTAAATAATCAAGCAAGAATCCCAAAATTAAATAATTACTGATAGGTGAAGATTTAAAAACTTGGAATATTTGATTCCATTACAGATATGGACATTTAGCGAGGGTCATTATTCATTAAGAAAACAAATGCCTTGATATTGACATTCCAACTAATTAAACTTTCAACGGCTTAGCCTCTTTGCAAAGTCCCTTTCGATTATCCCCACACAAAAGTAGAAGAAGAAGAATAAAGATGGATGGCCAAAATCAATTATTTGTTTAGATTTGAAGTTTGGGATGATGTATATACTTCTTCTAATCACTTTTTAAATATCTGAATGTTAAATCATAAAATTATCATTTGTTTTGTTTTAAAAGGCCTAATTAAATCCAAACTTAGGAACTATATAGATAGAGTGAACAGAAGGTGGAAAAGTGGTACAGACAAAGGGTATGAAGGTGAGCACTATTCAAAATGACCCACAACATGTGTTCTCATTGTTCTGATTTATAAAAGAATGAAGATTACAATGGTTCCAATGAACAATTTTCCCACGCTTTATTGATGTAATTTGTGCTTACTTATATACACAGCTAGGAAAAACTATTTACGGCAATGTACATCAATTTAGCTAAAATTATGCAACAGTTACAGATATGCACCAGTTACAAAAATATACAGACTTGATTGTGAATGATCTTGCTTGATTGTAGGCTAGATGTGCTCTGCTCAATCTTGACCTTGATTCTTGCAATCTGTCTTTATACGCCCCCGCAAGATTGAGTTCCATCAACAAGCCCAATTTTGTTTCTCAAAATTTCTGTTCTCTGTCTGGACAATGGTTTTGTCAACAAGTCAGCCAATTGATCTTGGGTATGAACATGTCTAACTTGGAGAGAGCCACGTTGAACAAGATCACGCACAAAATGAAGATCGATTTATATATGTTTCATGCGTGAATGTTGAACCGGA